CGCGGAACCGTTCGTTTCGTTTTGTTTTGTTTTGTTTTTTTTGAAAAAATTTACCTGCTCAAGTTCGAAAGTAAAAAAAATTTTGTGATTTAGTCTTCACGTCGCCTGGGGTTACTTTTTGTTACTTTTATCTTGTTTTGAAATGATTAAGGCAAATTCTCGGGAAATTTTGAGAGAAGCTGTTGCTTGGCTTCATTAATAAAATGAATAAATAAAAATGGAACATAAAGACGGTGTGCAACGCTTCAATCGGAGGAGAAGCGGGGGTTTCGCGCGCATTTCATCAATATTTGACTCCGATCGTGGAACCGAAACACATGAGTCTTACTTGCAAAATTTTAAATCATCGCTAATGCTCTTTTTTTTTCTTTTCTTTTTTTTAATTTGAAAACATTAAATCTTATATAGGGAAACCGATGGTTACATCCCATAGTTCTCGTGGAATTTAGATTGGATTCTTCCAATTCGTCACTTTTAACAAGCAGAATTGAAGCGGGCAACTATTTGAACTCCGGAGTAGGTATGTGGTATCATACAAAATTGAAGGAAAATCATACGTTTTCGCCCATCTCAAGTAACAGATGTTTATGAGTTTTATACGTAGTCTTAATTGAGTCAGAAATTCGCGTGTATGCCACGATATTGATGTGAATAACGCGCAATTGTAATGATCTTAAAAATTCGCTAGGAACACGACGTATTTGCCGTGATACCGTGGTGATTATCGTGTCATTTCTAATTTGTTTTACAAAATCCCTGGAAAAATCAAGTTTTCTCCGCGATGTAGATGACAAACCCGCCATTGCTGTGAATTAAACGAAACCGCTGGCTAAATCCCGTAATTTTCGCGGCTGAAACTCACCAGAAAACTTCAATTGAACATTGAACTGACAAAAGTAACAAATCTTCATGAAAATAACCAACTTTTGATTGGGTATTTTTTATTATTATAATTATCATGTGAGCTTATTGCAGAACGGACCAAAATAGCAGCATACTACTAATCTCTACTTTTTAATCAAACCAGTGCGTCTCGCCAATTTTGAAATAGTAGATAATAATTCAGAAACACAATTAGTAACTGATCACTAATCACAGTGATTGCTGATGGTGGGGTTTTCCTGTGCGTAGCACGGGTTTCCTGCTAGTCTTGTACTATTTGTCTTGTTAAAATTTTCTGGAGATGAGCTGAAGAACTCACAAATGCTTTTGCGTTTTCTGAGGAGACAGTACTTGAGATTCCTCTTGGCGAAATACATTTTTGGAATGCCGTTAAAAATAAAGTTGCAGAGAGATCTGTTGTCGTTTCTAAATCACAAGAAAATATACATATAATGTACATAATAATAATATAATAATATATAATAAATATATGAAATCACAGAGATCACTTCGAACTAATTTTGAGGGGGGGGGGTTTCCGGACCCCCGAATTCGTCAATTCAAAGGTCTTACGATTTCCTCGCGAAATGAGCCAATTGTCCCTAACTGTGCCTCAACATTATCTCGTCAAGTTCAAAATTAGTTCAACATTGAGTTTTCAAGTCCCCAAGTTTCGGGCAAAGTTCAAAAAAAGGAAATTTAAAGATATTTAAGACAGTTTAAATTTCGTTTTTTCTAACTTTGCCCAAAATTCAAGGACTTGATAACGCAGTTTTGAAATAATTTTACACTTGACCTTCGAATCGACGTATTTGGGTGTCCGGACCCCCCCCCCCTTTAAGTTAACTAGAAGTGACTTCTGTGATTTTTACTTAAAAGTGCTTGCAATTTGGTAAATTTTCACGTTTAATTATTTTTTTTTCTCTACAATAATTTGAGCCGGAGTTCAGAGTTTTTGAAAATGGGTCAACTTTGACCTTTGACCTATCATGTGTCCGGCAAAAATCAAGATATTGATCCGCAGTTTGCGCCAAAATTCTCAGTTTTCAATGTTCTTTCCAATGATGTATCGCAAGGTAGGAGTTACCATGTGAAAAAAAGGTGGGGGCCACCCTAAGAGAGGGGCAAAAATTTTGACCCCCTAAAAGATGGTGCCATATATGCCATCACTTTCAAGACTGTTTCTCGTTTTGAGAATTTATGAATTATACTCCACGGAGTTTGAGGGTGAATTGCCAATATAACAGGAAAGGGTCTCAATTCTAATTCAGTGAGCCGTGAGTTTCTTTTGAAATTAGGCCAGAGAGCTTGATCACCAAAACTCGATTGTTTCTGTTAAAAATGCATCGTGAACAGCCAAATATCAAAAAAATTTCCTGATTATGTGGAGGGTCCGATTTCGGCCCAAATCGTAACCCCTCCTTTGTAAGGCGAGTGAGTACACAGGTGATGTGAGTAAAATTCAAATGCAGGTGAGAATAGACACTTCAAAGGCACCAGCGAATGCAAAATACCATGCTTTACAGTTATGGTCTTAATTTGAATTGTCGCCTGTATGAGATTCCAATAAAAATTAAAGTAAATCTAACACGCAAGCAGGAAGTAATAAAACTCTCAGTCTATGAATTTTGATTGAAAGTTCTAAAAATGTCAAGAAAAACTGAAATCCTGATGGATATGAGGTAAGAAGGCAAATTTGCAGATACCACTGGAGAGGATTAAAGTGTGGGATGAAAAAAAGGTAGCTTCATGCAAACGAACAGAAGAAACTGTGTACAAAAATGATCTACACATGCGCATTTTATTTGAGTCATTAATCAGAAGCTTTGACACTTAAGGGACTCGGAAGACATTTTTTGACCTAGCCAAATCTTAGAACAAACACAGGCGAGGAAATTTAAGCTATAAACGTCGACCAATGAGCTAAAGCCATTAAAACTTCCTGAAAACAGTTTTAATTGATCGTTTTGGGTTTTAAAGGCCTCAAAAAAGCAGTCGTCTCATAGTTTTCTCGAATTACACTCACGTGTCACATGGAACATCAATGAAATATTAACATTATAGTATGCGACTTGAAAAATGGCGGCTGAGGGGCAGAGTCGGGTGAGCAGCTCAATTTATAAATGTACTTATTTACCTGCGTTTCAATCCTTATACAATCTATCAAGCCCGTCACTAACTCCGCTCCTCAGCCGCCACATATCATGTCGTAAACTACATACAGTCTTTTCCCCAGTTTTTACGAGCAATTTCCTTCTGAAAAATTTAATTTAGCTGAGAGAAATCCAAAGGAAAACTGGGCAAGCTAATCCTCTTTCTTCCAGGGGAATTTCAAGGGGTTTTCCAAGAGGACCTCGAGAGAAATTTTTGGGGGAGGCTTCTAGAATCCAAAATTATCGAAAAAATAGTCCTTGGTAAGCCACCATAATATTAACTAGTTATTGACAAAATTTACTTTTTAGACCTTAGTCCCTCAAAAAATACTACATGAAGAGACCAAAGACCATTAACTAAACTATTCAAAGAACATCAAGGTACAAATGAATAACTGACCCCAAAATTGCACAGATAAACAAAACATGGTTGGAATTTAAGCAAAGAGTAGATTGCACACAGTTGATAGTTCAGGGGTTAAATGAAGTCTACCATGAGACTGTAAAAAAAATAAATAGACTCAACGCAAGCTGAAATACTAAGATGCCATTTCGTCCTCATTTAACGATTAAAGTTAAAGGTAAAAACAGCAAGCTAGAGGAGTGGTCAAGAAACAACCAACACTGATGCAGGAGTGCTGGCTGTTTTAAAAATCAAATTCTCTTTAGTGAATAGGATTGAAAGTAGACATAGTGTAGCTTGCCATGTGAACAACTTAGGCACATGAAATCATCTTTTATTTATTTATTTATATATATATATATATATATATATATATATATATATATTTGCCGATTTTCGATCTAATATGTCTGGACTCACTACAGCGGTTCTTGAGCACAGGTATAAATTTGTTGATGGGAAAGATAACTATTTTGTGATAGTGAACTGATTATGCAGGGATTTTGGCACACTTTGCCTGGTAATGAATTTTGGATCACTCTTGATTTTGTTGATCATTTCCCTTTCTAGTGCTTACATCAGGTGAGAAATAAAGGAGAGATCTGCTTTTCACACAGTTGGATGGTTATATGGTGCAGAATGGGTTAGCTAAGTCATTTTTTTATGGTATCATTCGAAAGTAGTAAGTGACCAAAGCTTAAAGTTTTTTGTTCTCAATTTTTTTAATGACTGCAACCGGGAAGAAGGTTGACTTAAATGTCAAAAATTAAGGTGGCTTAAAATGGGGTTTGAACCATGCACTGCTTTCAACAATAAGCGTCATGATTGATATGGCGGCTGAATCCATAAAGGAAGTATACACAGCAGCGTCGCATTGGCAGTGTGTTTTTGTTTTTAATTAGAGGTAACGTAACAAGGTGGTGAAATAGTGCTGGGTCCACACCATTTTGCGGGGAAAACAAAGCCAAGAATTTCCAAAAATTACAATTAGAGTCAAAATTCAATTTTTTGAACTCTAATGCGTACCAGTACGAAACTGAGGGGGGGAGAACTGTTCAGCTCAGGCAGTTTGCATTGGAATATTGAAAATTGGAGGTTATGTAGGTTACTCTTTTTGTGATTTTAACCAATTGTTCTCAATTTCTTGCACTTTTCAATGAGAATGCAATACGGATTTATATAAGATATGAATCATTTGCACAGAACTCACTAATCCTTACACAAGAAATTGAGATGTCAACAACGGCAGCATGATATTAGTAAGCAAGTTGACTTTGCTTTGGCCATCTTCCCGTCTATGATGCATGGTGTCAAAGATTGATGATGGTAGCGAATGAACGGTTGAAACACGTTTTTGAGGACCCCTAAAAAGGAGGCGTTATATCTCCGTGGAGACAATTTTTTGTGCAATTTTACCTTGCGCATTGTTTTTCTCGTACCGAAAACAGAGGGAATTGACTATTTACAAGGAAATCCCTCCTAAGCTTAACTGGCCCATTATTTGCCTCCTTGTCGGAATGATACACTAAACCAAACAAAAATATGTCTAGTTTTGCACATACCTCATCGAAGAATACTTGAGTCTTGCGAAGAATATGTTTCAACTCCGTGAGTTCCAGAAAATTTCTTTTCAAAGCTTCTGCATTTTGATTAACTTCCCGTAGCTCATTCTCCAACTTTTCAAATGTTGCCTGGAAGAGGCAAAAATCAAGGAGATGTAAAAAATTAAAGAATAATAAGAGAAATAAAAAAATTTTTTCCTTTTCTCACTAATATATCTAAGTACTATGTCAGTTCTTGCTAACTATTTTAGTTCTAGTCAGTCATTGATTCTACATCACAGATACTGTTCCTAGTACGAACAAAATGCAATAGACATAACAGGAAGTAAAAATTCTCCGACCCTTTGGTCCTATTTAAAATTCTGTTTTAATGACATACATGCACGACTGAGAAAAACCTAAAAAATTAACCAAAAGGTGCTTCAGTACTTTCGGAGATCAGGAACGATGCTGATGCATTTCTCCAATTCAGGCATTACCAGGGTGTACATAACAAAATTAATCTGTTCCATCTTTAACATTTGATTTACTTGATGACTTGGAGAATAGCTCACCCATTTTTTTCGCAAAGTCATTGCTTAATTTCTTCTCCAACCATATAAAGAAGTCCATTTCAGAGTTTTTACGTTGCAAATTCTCAGTGTTTTCCCTGATTGATTGCATAAAATAACTCTTTACAACTCATTCGTCACAGATGTGCAACACAATCACTCTCCCTGAACAGTTCAACTCTGATTCATTCAAAATTTTGCAAATACATACGGGTGGATTTCAGCTAATGGGATGAAATATGGGAAAGACGTATAAATGGTTGCTTAAAACTTTCAATTATAACATTTTCTCTCGATGTTTGGTTTTTTGTGTAGAGGCAGGTCACACCAACCACGAAAAAATCCCTCAGGAAATTTGAATAACTCTAAACCTTTTTTTCAACGTGCTAAACAGTGAAAATGTCAGTTTAGTGACGTGAGACTTGGATGTAGTGAATGTATCAAATCGTTATATAAATAAACCAGGCCCTTTTGGGAGCTTTGTCTAATTTTTAAGTCTTGCATGTATATTGTTTGATATAATATACATCTAAACACCAGAAAACTATATTATTCACTTTAATTTGAGACTTGAAGCAGGTAACTCAATATTGTGTCAGTTCGGTGACGCTACGCGTTGTAGTTTGTGGCCACTCACGAGATAGCGCTTGCGTGCAGATTAAGGCATGACTGAGTGCAGAAGTGGAGAACGAACAGACGTGTACTTGATAAGTCCACATATTTCCTTCAATTTCAGCATGATTTCAGTTTTTTCTATGGTTTTTGAAGTGTCTCACTTATTCAATGTCAGTTTGGTGACACTGTTTCCCATCAAAACTTTTGGTGAAGTATGAGAGCAAATATTATATAAATATTTTTTCCTTACATCTACAGGTGGCCTCTCGACCTAACTTCAAGATTTGTTTTATTTTGTTACTGTAAATTGGCAGGAACAATTAATAGCAGTAAAATGTCAGGTTTGGTGATGTCACCAAACCTGACATGTCCGGCTTGCAGTGTTCGAAACTCATCTTGGAGTTTCAGGAGCCATGTGGCGCATCAAGCTCGATTTTTAGGGGCCAAATTGACTTTTTGCCTACGTATAACGACGCATTTAGTGTCAAGTTAGATGCAAGGTGTTTTAGTTATAGAACTACTAGCTGTTACTTGGGGAAATTTCGAAAAATCACCAAACAGAAAAACTAAGATTTTTTTTTTGGGGGGGGGGGGGCAATTTTTAGGGGCGATGATGGCGCAGAACCTTCATTTTTTAGGCGCCATGACTGATTTCTTAGGCACATTTGGCGCGTTGGCGCCTGTGAGTTTCCAACACTGAAGGCTTGGTAAAGAAAAATAATCGTAAAGATATTGCGATGCACGTAATTAAATGCTACAGTATGGAGTTCTAAGATAACAGAAAAGTAGTCTTCAGCTTGATACGGCCGAATCAATTTTCAACTTTTTTTCAAAAACATTTTCTCCCATTAGCTGAAATCCACCCATACACGGAATCACTTATAAGATGATGACTGATGGTATGTGGGGCCTGTTACAGAACTAAAACCGTATTTAGCCCAAAACTTGAAGAGGCTGTTACAGCTGTAAAAATCACTTGGTCGCAGAAAATATTTATGTCTGAATACACCTACTACCTAACCTAGAATACATACGAGAATGGTCTCCATAACACTTTCAAGCAGGTTCAAAACTGGCCCCTATCAAAACTCCTCCCTTCGTGAGTGATGTTAAGTGCCAAAAGAAGTATACAAACCTCAAGATCTATCATTTCCCTTGGCTGAGGTGCCTCAGGGCTCTCTCCAGTGTCATGCATCAGGATAGCATCTTTCTTGATTTCCTTTTCAAGGTAGCGTAATTTTCGTTCCATTTCATCACAGCGTCGCACTTCATTGACAAATTTGCGTTGAAATGCATTAACATCAGGATTTAACTATAACAGAGCAAACAACATTCAATATGAGAGAAAGCATTATGCAGTCATTATGCATCTTTAATGCATCTTTAATGCATCTTAATGCAGTCAAAAGCAATATCAAGTTGGTTCTCACATAAAGCTGTTTGGGTACTGCGTCCAGCATATTTTCTGACTTTTCGACCCCCTTCCCTTACATGGCACCTGTAAGACTACTTTTTACTCTCTTTTGAACTTCCCGGGACTAGTCTGATGATGCCTTGCCTACAATCCAATAGGCAAAAACCCTGCACTTATTGATTGGAATATGCCGCTTTCAGGGCTCATTGGTGGTGCCTTCAGAAGTAATTCTGGAAGTGGCAACACTTTGAGACCCGCGACAGGAGCAAGATGGCGGCCGTTAAAGTCCGCCATTTTGTTTTTTTCAAAGCGCTGTCCTTCCGTTGCTATTGATCCGATTTTGATCAACTTTTTTTACATGAAAGGTAATTTCGAAAAGAACAATATTATTTCTTCTCAATTTTTCTGCTGGACTTAGGTACTATCGACGAATTTAGTTTCCCGCAGAGTCTCTGGTGACTACTTAGCGACGGCGCGGCGCGTTCCCTGATAACGCTCATATGAAAACGCACTCGTTGCTCTGTGAGCGCGTAGTCACTAACACAGATGCACATGAAACACACAATTAAGTTTGTCCATTTACCGGCAGAAATTCAGAATTCACATTGTTAGATCTTTGGGATGTAAACAGAGATTTGTAATGACGTATTGCGCATCGATTCCTATCCTCACTCGCCTCTCCTTCTTGTGACCAGAGCGAGGAAGAAAGGATACCTTCTTTAAAACCTTAACCTTCTTAACCTTCTTCTTTCTTACCTTCTTTGTCGGCCTCCTGTGGTGTAGTGGTTGTAATGCTAGCTCTATGATCGGGAGGTCCCGGGTTCGATTACCGGCCAGGCGACCCGAGTTTAATGGTCTCAAACAATGGTTGCCTGGGTCTGGTTGTTCAGTAGGGACGGAGGGGGGCCGGGACTATAAAGCGCGGGATTAGCCCTTGTGGGCTACTAAAAGAGGTAAAAAAAAAAACGGCCATTTTCAACCTTGGACTGATCTTCGAAATATTTTCAGAGTTAATAGAGGATTACTTTTGGAGTCCAGAACACTGACGATTATTGAAATCGGTCAATCACGGGGGAGGGGGAGGGGAGTCAAAGTAAAAAATTTCAACTCGCATATCTCGCTAATGGTTTGTTGCAGAGAGATGATCTTGGTCTCAAAATTTAGAGAAAACCACCAGATTTCAGGCAATGTTTAAATAATTGGTTTCTTTTGAAAATTTCATCCATTGCTGCCACGTTGTCCCAGCTTAAATTTTCACATTTTCAGCTGTGATGTTGAGGGAATCGCACAAAAAGTAACACAAATTTTTTTGGATGAAATAAGACCGTTAAAGCTTTAAAACAAGCACGAATTCATCCTGGGGCAACAAGTTGGAGGAGAGATATGATTATTCAAAGTGCATGCAGTATACACTGGGTCCTGGTTTGTTCTGAGTCCCAAGATCACCCATGCCCCCAAACCGACCACGAATTACGAGGTTATGCATTTTTATACCCCATCAGCTCATTCCGTAAGACAATTATTATAAAAAAATAACAAAATATCAAGGCATATGAATGTTACAGGACTAGCCTCAGCTGACGCTCGCTGCATTAACTTTCAAAAATCATGACTCTGTTTCAAATCGTTTCTCTAGGATGGACATAATTTTTTAAAAAAGCTCAAACGGTACGCTTTTATTAGCAATTCCTCTTTTTTCCTCTTATTTCTACCCAGGGAACCGTTGAAGGTAAACATAATCTTCTTTATGATCGAAAACTTTGATTCCCCTGTATCCATTGCATATTGATCATTTATCATGATCTTGTCATTTTTGACGAATGATTTTGTCCAGGAGTGACTTAAAAAGGTACCGCCCCAGCTAAAAATGTAAGAAATTGAAAATTTGAGCTAAGGCAACGTGACAGCAATGGATGAAATTTTCAAAATGGACCAATTTTTTCATCATTGTCTGAAAGCTGATGGTTTCCTCTAAATTTTGGGACCAAGATCATCTCTTTACGACAGTCCGTTTACGAGATATGCCAGTTTAAAGTTTTAACTTTGACCCCCCCCCTTCTTCTCCATCCGTAACTGTTTGATTTAAAAAATCGTCAGTGTTATGGACTTGGGAAGTGATCCGCTATAGACCCTGGAAGTATTTCGAAGATCAGGGCGAGGTTCGAAATGACCGCTTTTGAATAAGGCCTATTGATAACCGTTTTACCATCCATTCTCCTCCACTTTATTGAAAGTCTCCTGCATGAAATGTTCTTGCAAGTCGATGGGAAGTTAATGTCGTAATATCATAAACCGATTTTTAATTTCACCTTTGCTCCGCATTAGAAAAATATCCAGCAAAATTGATGATGGTCAGAAATAGCTAGTGATTGTCAGTAAAAGGGAGTACAGGTTAGCAAATTGAAGAAGAAATATAGTGTTTACTCCAGTAGATCAACTTTTCACCCACCTTTCCTCACAAAATGAGCCCATGCCAATGGTTGGGTGGATGTTACCATTAGACCCATAGTTTTTCTCACTTGTCAGCAATGCGGAGTAGCAAACTTGGAATCGATGTCTTCCGGTTGCGAGATCTCAAAATGTTCAGTCGTATTTAATTTTTTCCCTCGAATGGAAAAAAAAGTATCTTGTCTCCAAAGTTCAGACTCTTAGAAGATTCGACAAGAAAAATACTCTTGATTCAATCGGATTTTTCCTTGAATCGGGAGCCCAGCCTCTTAATTCACGCGAATTTCCTTATTATTCGAGAAAAAATTGGATTGACTCGAGAGTATTTTGTAAGAGTCTGGACTCCGGATCCAAGAGACTTTTTTTCCAGTGCAGGTAAACAAGTTAACATCAACGTTTGCGCTTTCCATAGATTCTTCCTCCAATACAAAAATTACGTCGAGTTGTGTTTTAATTGAAGAATGTCGGGAAAGCTGCAAAGTCGCTAAATAAATAACGAATTATTTTCCTCAATCCGAAAAACGAATCAAGAGAGATTCCAAATAGTCAGGAAAACGCTTAGTTTCTTGTTTGGGCACGAAAAGTCTAAAAGTAAGCGCATTTTTCAGAATTTTCTTAGGACCGTTTCTTTTCTCTCTCTATTTTCTTTTCTTTTTTTTTTCTTTTTTTTTTGATGTTATTGAGAAAAGGAGAGGAATTTATTTTCGAGTGAAATTATTTAACGAGTCTCCTGACATGGAATTTAACAACTAGAACAAATATTAACAACTTAAAATAGATAAAAGGGTATTAATGAAATGACATATAGGTCCCCCGTTTAAACAGTTTACACCACTGCGATGCCATGACGAAGTTTTTACTCCTCGCAGATCCTAAATATTTTGTAGCTTCTGCCAGAATAAGTAGACGGTTTCCGTACAAAATGAAACGCAGATGAACTCAAAACTGTCTGTCTTGCATAACATAGGAGTGCAAATGAGTTTACTTCTTTTTCTTCTTCTGAACAAACGGCAGGAATTGCATGGTTAATCCCAATGTAATTGACAGCCCTGAGTTCAATTAAGACCATAATTTCTCTCTAACACTCTTAGGAAACCAAGGCTTTCCTTAAAAACGGGCTGTTTCGAGGAACCAGGCCCTAAGGCCGACTTGCCCATTGGCAGACACGCTCATATGGCGCGCCGAGTATGCGCCCCTGTAACCGATAGCAAAATAAGAGGAGGAAAAAAAAATATGACCAAACCTTAATCATAATTCATATCAAATTTCAAAAATTAGAGACATCTAAACGGGATACAACTATTCGTGCTAGATGGATGTCCATGATGCACATGAAAAATTTAAGGCGCGAAAATTTGAGGCGTGAATTCGCAATGCTCTGCTCTATGCTGGTAGTCAGATCCGGGAGAAAAGTTAAAAAACGAGGCCGGATTAGGTTTTTTCTACCTTCGGCTATGATGCTCACGTAGCCCTTGAGGCACCACTACGAGTGAGACAAACGAAACCAACAAACACAATATAGGAACAGAGTAGAGGAAAGGATGTGCGTTGACGACGGCGAAAAGATACGACTATTCGTGCTTGATGGACGTACGTACGTGTTGCATCGGCAAAATTGAAGGCGCAATTGCCCGAGGCGTGAACTCGCGATGCTCCTCTATATGCTGCCAGTGAGGCTTTGCTCAGATTCGGGAGAAAAGTTAAAAAAGAGGCCCGAATAGGTCTTTCCTGTCTTCGGCTGAGTTTATACTCGATTTTTTATCAAGTCCATGTCCGATTCTTTTTTGGAATGATTTGCAGACCAACATCTAAAGCTCGCGTGAACCGGCCCCATACAATCTACGGGACAGGTTTTCTCAGGAAGCCTCGGGTCGATTAGACCCGGCCTCAGCATTTAAGGGTTGATGAAAATATCATTAAATGACTGCCTTCCTCGCAAAAAGTTGGGATTCAACATTGGATCCGAAGGAGGCCATTCAAATAAAATTGGGTTATGCAATCTCACAAAATTAGGCTGTAACTGTTCGGTCATGTTTGAAAACATTCTAATTTCCAACAAATGATTGCTGAATAGGACTTCCTGCCAGACCGAGTTATACAAAAGTCACCTACCATCCCTGTAACTTTTTTCCTAATTGAGATAGACATTTGAAACTTTGGGAATGTTCCTCGATCTAATGTAGTGACTTTTTGGTCCCCCAAAATTTTGGGGGGCGGGGGCTAACTTTTTTTTCAAATGGCAACCCCCCTTCGTGATACCTCATTTGAAAGATAATAAAAACAGAAAATTTTCAGCGCAAACCGCAGGTCAAAATAATGATTTTTGACAAAATGGCGGCCGGTCAAAGTTCAAAATGGTGGAAAGGACCTCGCTCATCTCTTATGGGAAGCTGCACCATGACCGAATGCTAATTAATTTATGTCATTCGATTCTCCTCAAGATGCTGATC